CTGTCCATTACACTACAGACCTCATCGTTCTGACGGCTGGGTGTGGTTCTGTTAGCAGAGGTTCCAGCTGGAGGAACTCTCTGATCACACAGCAGCCACACTATAACCTGCACTGATAACTTCTTTGGCTGTCTATTATTCTTTTCTGCCCAGTCAAGCTTATTTCCTATCCATTCACTCTGTCTCTTTTTCAGCTTAATAAAGGAATCGAGCACTCTACAGCGCGAGCAGAAACGCTGGCCAACGGTGAAGGAGACATTTTTAGTGTGCATGTGTCAGTCAGCAGGTACACGAGCACTTGTGGAGTCAATTTGGCATGGAGGAGTAGAGCAGGGACTATGCCAGGGAATATGAAATGCTCCTCAGTGAGGCAGAAGTGGTGAAACGCTGCATGACAGAGGCCTGTGGGCTCACAAAGAGATTTCTGAGATTCTCCAGCGCACAGTGTCATTATGAAGCTGATCAGCTCTATAAACGTACTTCACATCTCGCACTGATCAGGTTTGTTCTCACCTGTACCTCCATCTGAGGTGAGTGAACGCTCAACATTCTCTGACCTCAATAAAAAATAGCCCTTTTTCCTGCAAGAGCTGTAATCCTAACTTTTTTTTTTTTGTTTTCCTGAAACTGTCATGTGAAGTCATTCCCACGCCATGTGAGCGGAATCATGAACCAAAACTGAATTTAGGCCCAAAAGAATCTTTTTAATCACATTAGCTATTTAGCAAACTGGATTAGAGTAACAAGATCTTTGTTGTGTGTAGCTCAAGGTCTTCTCAGCTAACTGGTACAGCTTGATCTCCTGATCGGTTTAATGTCATTGGATCTTGGTGCCTCCAAAATGTAAAATGTGATACGCAGAAGGAAGTAACGCAGTACACAGACTAAACCGCCTGCAACAAGGACTAATCTGTAGTTTGTTATGAAAATAGATACATAGTTAACGGTCTGTTGCACAAGTGCTCAGATTCTTGATTATACAGTGTGAAGAGTACGTGTTAAAAAACAAGTTGGACTACTGTCTGTCTGCATCACTTTGCTGAAAATAGCAGACAGAATTTAAGTGGATAAGAATATAGCTGGCAGCCATCTATTTCTGTGTAGTGGACACAACAATAACAACTCAGGAAGAATTCAGTAGCATCTAAAATAATTATAATATTGTGGAAAAAGTCCTTTTTTTTGTCATTCATTTCATAAAGTTAAACTCGTATAGATTCATTACACACAGAGTGGCATGCAAGTCTTTATTGTACTTTTGATTATTATGGCTTACAGATAATAAAAAATAAATAAATAAAATCAGTGTCTCAGAAAATAGAATCCATGTGAAAAGATTCAGTATTGTAAACTCCTGATGGTGTCTTCAAACGTCTCATTCCTCAAGTCAAGCCACTCCTAACCAGAGACGTCATTTTGCTTACCTGGGCATAATGGTTTGTGAGATATTTTGCTAACAGACTGACAAAGTTGCTTCCAAAGGTTAATGTTAAAGTTTTTAAAACAAAGATCTCACAAGACCCAAGCGCGCAGAGTGTTTGTTGGGGATCAGTTTCAGCTACTAGTGAATCACAACATTTTAGAGCAGGGCTATGCAACTGGTGGTCTGGGGGCCAAATCGGGTCCATGGATGAACACAGTTCGGTCCACCAACGAGTTCATTTTTAAATAAAACTAGATTTTAAACCATGAAACAAACTTAGTTAATGTCAAGAACTGCTGGATGTCCAGCCCTGAGCTCTTGGTTTTCAGTTTGTGGCCCCCTGAGCAGTTTAGCTGAATAGCCCTGCTTTAGATGAGCATTTGTAAAACTGACTGAGTCATAGTTATTTGTGTTTTATAGATTGATTAGCATGCAGCGGCCATCTTGAACCAGGTTAACCAAAGGTTTGACAGTTATATTTACAATCAAGAATTAGTTTCTGCAAATTTCATTAAATATGTAATATTTTGCCAGCACTCACACAAAAATCAGCTGAAGAATGACGCCTGCCACAGCCATGACCCGATTAACAAACACTGTTAATTGTTTAGGAGTTTTAATGTTTAACCTGAATGTTTCTTTAAAACTGCCATGTGGGTTTCTGGGTGTGAACACAATGCTGTGATTTAGATCAATCAGTTTTATGATGAAGAGAAAGTAAAACAAACAGCTGTGGTTTTGGTAATTTATGAGTTTTGGTAGAATGGTTTATGTCACAGAATTCCCATGAGAACAGAACCAATCAACAGTGAGTCATTCTCCACAATATTTCTTAAATTTACTGTTTTTAGTTGTAAATTTGCTCTGCAGGTTGAAGCACAGGGAAGTGCTTGAAATCAAAGTTGAGCCTGCATTGTTAACGTATCAGTGAAGGTTGTTGATTATGGGCAATATTAATTTCCGAGTATCAACTGGTTGTGTCCTCCCCTCAGCCTGGGGCTTTTTACAGCTCCATATCACTGCCAAAAGCCTCTTTTAGTTTTGCAACGCTCTTCATATCTGCATTTCTGTGTCCTTTGATAAGAACTATCATCCTGTTTTCATTGATTACAGTCTGATGACTCATCGTGATTAAACAGAAAAGGCGATTCATCTTTTCACTGCACACTGGGCCCTTTGTTGCATGGGATGTGTGCGCCTGTTTCAGTACATTTCTTGCCAGATGCCTGTAAATGATGTGCTGCGATGCACGGCATGCGTGTTTATTTGTGAACTTTTGCTATAAGTCTGCAAATCTTCATGCAAACAGAATGCCAGAACTATAAAATGTGAGCTACTGCGTAAAAAAAAAACTCAAGACTGTTGCAGTAGCAGTTAATTTTCTGCTTTGCAAACTGCAAAGTTAGCCGTCATAAAACAAATCATTTGTAAACCACATGTGACCTGATTTCAATCAGCACCCTCATCACTAAAAGACTGCATGGGTGTTAAAGTATTACCTTTTAATTAATATGACCCCAAACAGATTGTTCAGTTGAAGAAACAATATATTTGCTCACTGACTAAATCTGAGCTATATGTGCGAAGTGAGTTGCTGATCAGTTCAAAGTAGCAGGACTGAGGACAATCCATGCTCTGTCAAGAATTAGAGCCACCTCTGCAAATAGACCTATGTGTATTGCCTCAAGGTGGGAGTTTTTTTTTTTTTTTCTCCAAGGATGGGGTTTCCGTGTAAATAAACAGTGTGGGGGTCTCAGTGGGCTGAGGGCCTCTTCTCCCTGGGGTTTGGCCCAGCCTTTTGTTGCCTTTAATCCAAGCACTCTCCATTGAAAGCATGAGGGGGTGCCTGGCTGAGATTAGCCCGCCAGCTCTTGTGTGTGCTTGAGTTTCTCACAGACTGCCCCCGTACTTTTGGAAATAACACAATTATCCCACATCCTCAAGGTGGCTGACGAGAATGACAAGTAAGACGACTGCTGGGCAATCTCAGACCTCGGCGTGACATAATGAAGTTAGCATTTCCCAAAACCTGTGGTATGCACTGCAAAACATGGCTGCCTTTGCACTTGGGTACGTTTATACAGAGCTGATGTGCGGCATTAGTTTAAATTTATTGACGTAGCTATAATGAAGTTCAGCATTGCAGAGGATTATATTTTGTACATGAGTAAGAACACCACATGTGTTGGCTTTTACTAATTCATCTGCTTTGAATTTAAGTTAAACATTAAAAGGCACGATACAATGAACTCCAATTAGCCTACATCTTTGTGGATGTGTTTTTCTTCATTTCAGAGGCTCATTATCACAACTGAAAAATAGCTAAAGCCCTGTTACATCCATTAAGAGAGCAAAAAGGTATAGCTTTTTATTTTTATAAATAAATAAAAAGGACAGATCCATGTATAAAACGTAAAACTATTTTCGTCTCTGCTGTCGATTTGCCTTCCTGATAAAAGTAAACAATATCCTTTTGTCTGCCTGGCTACATAAACCCATATGTAAAGGAAAACTACAGGTTGTAATGTTACAACTGCTTCCTTTCTTCCTTTGTTTAATGTAAGCTCTCATTACCACGTGGTGGTAACAGATTGTTTGAACTGGAGAGAAAAGCCATTCGAAGCTAATTAAGCAGCCATTCCAGGCTCTATTCACAGGCAGAGGACCGGGGAGCACAGGCATTTGTCAGCGCTTGACCCCGCGTGGTATTGATTGACAACGCAGCGCCGTGAATGACAGGCTCGACGCCGGCGGACCAATGGGAAGCCGCCGGGTAAGTGCGCCGCGCCGCCATTGGATGAGAGGCCTTAAAGCCGCAGAGGAGCCCCCACGTGGGGAGGGGGAGAGCAGAGCCTTCAAAACAAGGCTTCAGACATGGCTGATGTTCATATCACACAAAGGCAATCATCTCCTCCCTCACCACCCCCTTCCCCCCCGCTGTGTAACTATCACCCAAATGCTGATAGGTAGGCGCGCGGATGTGTTGTGCAACCACCACGAGACACTTAAAAGTCGAAATTTATGTTCGAGACGTGGCTTCACTTGGGTAAACGTCGACGATCGATTGGTCGTTATTGCGCCCTTCACGGCGCGTTGGCGGGGAAATTAAAACGCTGCTTCTTCTTTTTTTTTCTTCCTTTATTTCATTTATTTTAAATGTATAGCCGCGTGTTCCACAAACACACTCTTTGCATCTTCACGCCCCCTTGTATGGAGATTTAAAAAAAAAAATTAAAAAAAAGTGCTTGTTGCACCGCACACCTCCATCCCACCTTCCTACACTTCTGTTGGTGGTCTCGCGCACATAAAACTTAAAAAAATATATATTCTTTTTCACCGATGGACAGGGAAGGGGGAGGACTTGAACGCAGCACGGATGTGGCGGCTATTTGTGCCGTCTCTGTCAAATTTGGGTCTCATCGTCCGCCGCTGTTGTCGTAGCTACGCGGTGGGACGCACGGCTGATGCCTTGTGGATCCGCGGGATGATGTCATGTATCGTTGCACCCCACGTGGGGGCCGTCGCTCTCCGATAGGCAGATGTGGCCGTGTTCCTTCCGAGCATAATGCGATTGGACAGATAGACGCTTTCACGGCAGTTCAGCCTTGCTGCCTGTGTGTGGCAACCCGGGGTAAAGCTGGACAACAGGGGGAAACGCGAGCTTGTGGAGAGTACCGTGTTACGCTTTTAAAGAACCTCTTCGAGTCAGAAGACAGATTTTGGGAACGAATATGTGTAATTTTTCCCCGTTTTTTTGGAGGGATTAACCAGCCACAGACGGGGCGCGTTCCTTGGAGGTTGAACGCTGAAGAATAAAGAGGTTTAATCGAGCCCGACCGCACCGAATTCTCTCCCCCAGTCTGGCTGGGTGCGCTCTGGAGGATGCTGCGTCCACATTACGAGGGATTAAACGCCTGAATTATATACTTTGTTTATTTTTTTTCTTCTTCTTTTGGGAAACGAGCACCGGACGGAAGGTTAAGGCGCACGTTTGGGTACGTTCCCGTTCACTGCTGGGTTGCCCTTTTCAGCTTTTTCTTATCCATACAAAGGCGTGCGCTCGGCTGCGCACCGCTTCCATGGTTCCGTGCCGAGCCAAGTTAGGAGGAAGCAGCTGCTGTCGGTCGTTGCTCGCCTGTAAACGCTCATTTATACCAACACCAACCAAGCCTGGACTCACAAAACACCTGAATTTGATCCGAGTGGTGATTGGGGGGGGGGGGGGGTGTCTTCCATATCGGCCGTTTCTGCGTCACTTTAAATTATGGTGACTTTTAGGTGTTTTCTCCCCCCCTCGCTCCCCCAATAAGTCGCTGACCACTAACCAAATAAGGTCATCAAGAAGCTGTCAGAGCTGTTTTTAACACGACCTGAAATGCAGCATAACTGTGGGTCAGAGTTGGTGCTTTGAATGGTCATTGCAACTGCGTGAAGTTGTTCATTTTTTTTGCAGCTAGAGGTTAAACCGCGTCATTTTCTTCCACAACACAGGATTTTCACGACCTCTCCTATACCCCCACCCCCACCCTCCTGAGACTGCTGCTGCTGGGAGCAAATTTCAACCATTTTGCCAAAGGACCTGCACACTGGAGAAATAAAGGATATACCTTTCGAGATGTATCCACAAGGCCGACATCCGGTAAGACGTGCCTGCTTTGTCATGAAATATTCAGCTGTGTGTGTAGGTTCTTGTTTCCAGAACAGCCCCTTCAAAACCCCCTTTCTGCTCTCAGTGCAGGTCATTCAATTTTCTATACTTGACACATATTCTCCATGAGAATATGCTCTTAGATGAATGCAGATGGTTTGCACAGCCAAGAGATATTTACTCAGCTGAATGTAAGGACAGGTGGTGGTTTAAATTCATTTTTCTCCTTCCTAAATGAGAATTCATATTCGGTGTGAAAGCCTATTCATGTGGCGTTATTAGCAGCTGGAGGTGTGAAGTAAGAGACCCACCTCTTTGCTTTGGTAATGTCTTACTGCAGAGTTGGATATTATCCTCGGAGAAGGAGCATCAGTGTCGAAAATACCTGAATGAAACCTTCAAACAGGTGAACGGATTCTTGAGATTTTCTTCTTTTGAGCATCCTTGTCTGTTTTGGTATCTTTCAGGCTCCGCATCAACCTGGCCAGCCTGGTTTCAAATTCACAGTAGCAGAGTCTTGTGACAGAATAAAAGACGAGTTTCAGTTCCTGCAAGCCCAGTATCACAGGTAATGATTATTTCCAAAAAATAGAATCACGTCTTCATTATATCGGTTACAGGAATGCCAAAGTACCGGTCTTAATGTTTTTGTTGAGTGCTGAGGTGTGAGTTGCTCAAGTGTTGATGCTTGAAAATGACACTTTTATGTTTCTGCTTCAGTCTCAAGGTGGAGTACGACAAACTGGCCAATGAGAAAACCGAGATGCAGCGCCACTATGTCATGGTAAGATTACGTTACAATGGGGAGCAATTATGGCACCAAATTGCAAGGCTTGTTGAAGATCTAGTTAGGGTGGAGTGACACAGGGCTATTGTGATCACCTATGTGGTGGTTAGGGCGGGCTGAGTGTCAGGTACAGGCCTGTGAAAGCCCTCGGGGGGGTGTGGGCTGATGCAGCTGGTTGTTACAGAGGAGCGCTTTCTGACAGGCAGCCAGTGGGTCTCCAAGGGTTGACTGCAGCTTTGCCCTCTGTGTGTGCTGATCTGATTATTCTCCTCAGAGACTCCACGCTCAGACGTATGCACGGCCATAAATTAGGTGTGAGCTGCTGGTGGAGGCCTAGGGGCTATATGTGTGTGTGAAAGTGCACCACTGTAAACAAGATGGAGGACAGGGAGGCTGCATTGAGATTATTTTTTCTTTCTCGTTTATTATCCATATAATTATTAGCCTTTTATTTTAGCAGCCTTGAAGAAAAACATAGGTGTGCCACTGACGCATGAAATAAGTCCAGACATGACGCAACGAGCAGCTTTTACTGGGGAAGTGTACTCTCTTGTCCTGAGTAAACATACAGGAGGTGATTTAAACCACAGGTTCAAATGAAACATGTTTTAGTATTTTCATTAGAAAACAACATGTCAGCCTGACAGGGAGTAGGTTAGATAAACATGTAGGGAAGCATCCCACAGCCAGCGCTGGGTGTCAGGTTACACCATGGCTGCAGGGCTCTGATCTCAGACAGAATGGCTCTCTTGTTTGAGAGTAATTTTCGAAGAAGCTAATGGACTGAATAATGCATTGGCCTCATCAAATAGACGCTGACTGGAAAGCCATTTCTGCCCTGGCTGCCAATTGTGGACTCCGCGGATTACATTTCAGCCAGACATACTGACCTGGCTGGAAATATCAAGAGTGTTGAGCAATCGCGTTACGCTAAGTAAACAGACATCATGGAGATCTGAGGGCTTAAGATAGTGATCAATACATCTGACCCTTCCTTCTTTGCGCCTACTCTACAAACAGCAAAAAATTGATTTATTGGCTGCTCGCTGTCGGCTACTCAAAGAAGTCTTTTTCTAGTCTGATCTTAGTTCATCACCTTTCGGGTTTTTCATCCTAATATACAAAACTGTGTGATAATGTGATTAGTGCGGGGATCAATCATATTGATTTGAGTCTGTGTGGAGAATACACAATCATGAGGCCACCACATGCTTGCAATAATATGTTTTCTGTTTTATTTTCCAGTATTACGAGATGTCCTATGGGTTGAACATCGAGATGCACAAGCAGGTGTGTACCATCTTCTTCCTCATCGGCTTTATTGATGTTTCTGCAGGTCAGGGAGAAGTTAAAGGCAGGAAGTTCAGGCTGGTGTATTAACATGACCGAACTGAAAGTGTGTGTCATTTAATCCTTTGTTCTTTGGCGTATTTTTAAAAAATAGAAGTCATAATGCTGTGATTTAACTCCACTTTTTGATTAGATTAAAGGCAGACTTTGACAAGCTCTGTCTTTTATGATTAGAGAGAACAGAAATGCTGATAGGTCAGAGTTTCTTCCTTAGCTGTAATTACCAGAGCAGAGCAAAAGTCATTTAGCCATTTACTGCGCCGTTATCTTTATCAAAGACTCCTATCTTGTATTGCCTCACAGATCGATCGTGGTAATAAAAATAAGGACTGCATGAATGAGTAATCCTCAGATTCCACCACATGCTGCGTTAAAGCATTAGGCCCATCTCTTCCAGTGTGACTGCCTCACTCGGTTAATGACAGCATTGATGTGGTGGGGTGATCCATCAGCGTCTGGGCCGTGTGTCGCACTGCCACATGTCTGTCAGGCTTCAGGCCCCTTTGATAGCTTCTGTCAGGCACTTATCACCAACCAGAGGGAAGAGAGACGGGGGAGGGGCTGGGGGTTGGAGACAATGAGCAGAATGGAGCTGTGGGGGGAGGGGCAAGAGTCCAGCTCTGTGTAAACAGGTTAATCGACTGATCCATTTTAGCGCCTGACTTTTATCAGGAACCTCAACAGAGCTGATGGAAGTGCTTGAATAATTCATCAGTGGGGCTCTAACCTGCTGAACGGCGTGTTTGTGAGCAAACAGTGCAGGGGGCCCCATCCTTGCAGTCCCCCCACCCCCCAGTCCCAGCTTACAGCTCAGACACGGGGGAGGAGGAGGGAGGAGAAGATCAGGAGTGGTTAACAGGCTGGGTTGAGGTGGATTATTGGATGCACGCAGGGATATTATTTTCCTGCCAGGAGATTTATTCCACCGTGAGGAAATGCATTCCTCTAACTGTGCCTTTTTCATTACCGAACAGGGACATAATTCAGGTTCCAGAATGCACACACTGGCATAGCATAGTTGGACTGATGTGACTATACTATCTGACAACTTGCCCCCACCCACAGTTTTCTGCTGGGTGATGTCAGCTCATAATTACCATCATATGGTGCTTGTTTCTCAAAGCTGGACAGGGTTTGGGACTAGCATGTTCACTTTCATCAGATTTGGCTGTTACCTGTAAGTTGTAAGAGACTCATGCTTTAAGAAACCCCTTGCTTAAAGCAAAGGATCTTCCATGTTTGGTGCCAGCGCAAATGCGATCAGCCAACAGACTGTATTGGTCGAGGCATGCAGTGAAACGAGGTTGGAGAAACTGTGCCTCTCTCTGAGCCGTCGGTGCTTTCATATCCTCAATCTGTCATGAGTGACTGGACTGCAGCGTAACGATTTCAGGGTGTAAGGCTTTTGGCTGTCAGACCCACTTATGTAAATGGAAAGTTACAGTGTTTAAGATGTGCAATAACCGAGAAGGTCCTCTTGTTTTTTTGCTCAAACAAGTTTATTGTTTTAGGATTGCCAACCTGACAGCTGTGGCTGACAAGGTTAATCAGTGTCATGTGTCTATTTAGACAGCCTTTTGGCTTTACCAAGATCATCACAGATAACTCCAAATGCCAATTAAAAATTTACTCTGGACCTGCCTCACATTAACAAAGACTGAGACTTTGCACAACATCTCAGTTAAGTGGAAACATCATTATCCGGCCTAGACAAGCTGATGGTACTTGTCTGGGTCTCTTCTTAATGAAAAAGTTGGGCCTTGGGCCGTGCTGTTATAGCTCGGACAAATTGCTGACCCTTTACATATGACTAGTCAAGTATTGTTTCGATGAATGCCCTGCTTTTCCTCTGTATTTAATGCTCATCAGTGTTTCAAGTCCATTTTCCCACTGCTGATAACAACAGGCAAATACCTCTCGGCACACAATTGACAAGCCAGCCTGAGAGTGCTCTTAAAGTGGTGCTACACAGGTCCGAGTACCTGTAATTGTGTAGCAGCGGTGCAAAGCTGGGCTCTCAAGGGCCAAGCTGTCATCTACTTAAAGTGACAACAGCCCCATTTTTATCTCCACCAGAACAAAACAGAAAAAAATCCTCCATCACTGGACTGTATCTATTTTGACAACAGTTGAGCTGATGCCTCTGCCGTGCATGTGCACGCTGCATTGTGAGAGAAGAGACTGGCAGTTGTTTAGGGCACAGCAGCTCTGCCACCTCCTGACCTCTCCCAGCCAGCTGTCAACATGACACTAAGCTACAGGGGAATGGGCCGAGTGCTCAAGGCCGTTCTACAAATCCAGTCAAATGTTCGACTACTATTTACACGGCTTATCTCGACAAACATGGATTAAACGGGCACCGGTAGCTTTTCAACCATTTCTGAGCGTCGACTCTTTCTAGAACACTTACAATTCTGCAATAATACTTATCCCTATAAAATCCTTATCTAAGGAGATCACAGTTCATTCTCCTTATCGTCGAAAGGCAATAAGCATGTCATAGTCTGTGTTATCTTATGGACTATTGTACTTTCTGCAGTAAACGCTACCATATATTTATTGCAGATTATTGTCCCTGATCACAGACCTCACTGTGTTTCATTTGATATTTCATTTTCAGCTCGTTGTTTGTCCTGCTTGCTGGCTTGACTAGCTTAGCAGCTAATCGTGTTGCAGCCTGGGTCAGCAGGTCTTGTTCTGTTGGTCATTACTCTCCAATCTCTCTGGCTCTGCTCAGTGGTAATATGTCTGGCTGCCAAAACTGCCTGGCATTTCTGCCATGTGTAATAAATAAGCAGGCGGTCTGCAGAGTGCATTGTGTGTGTGTGTGTGTGTGTGAGAAAGTGAGTGAGTGAGTGAGTGAGTGATGCTCCAAAATGAAAAATCAGAGAAGATCCCTGTGATGTGTTTGTGTTCTGCAGTGGCCCTGGGTTGAACTGCGGCTCATAAATTCCAAAGATGATGTAGCTTTGGCCCTGTTATTCTTTTTGCTCCCAGTGCTGAGCTCAAACCTGAAAGTCTCATCTCCTGACGAGAGGGGGAAGAACAAGCTGGCTGTGTTTTTACAAGACGACGAGGAAGGGGTTTTGTGTGTGCGTGTAGGGGGATGGGGGGTGAATCATACCCTCCTCCCATTGCTCTTTTTATCCATTCATTTGCTCCGTTCATGTGATTGGCAGGCTGAAAATTCAATTTAATGACCTGCCTCCGAGCACGTAATATGATTTTAAAGCCTGTTACGGTCAAGCAGAGGTGCCATTTGCATAATGATCCCCAGCCAGATAGGGCTGCAGTCGTTGCCATGGCAGTTGGTCGACAAGCAGAAGAATGAAGGATAGGTGGGAGGGGGTGTAGGACTGGGGGCTTGATTGCAGTAAAAAAAAAAAAAAAAAATTGCACAGGCTTCTTATTTCAAAAGGCAGAGCTTTGGGAAACAACACTCAGAAAACAGACCGCTTGCTGTCTTTTAATGGTTATTGATCATAGATTTGAGGTCTGTTTCCCACAAGGTTATTATGGTTTGGTATCTTTGTTCACCGTGATTTGTAATGTCGATTGTCCGTCACGTGTAAGCAAACAGTGCAGGTTGAAGGCCTTTCTTCCTGGGGTGTGGCTGTGCGGTTTTAACGCTGAGGTTAACTGCAGGACGGTGCAGAGCAAGTGAAGATCCTCTCATCACACAGGAGCAGCAGCAGCACTCTGCCCGCTCACATCCGTTTAGCATGGAGTGCACTCTCAGCACAGCTGTGCTCCATACCCCTGGGCTCTCCTAATGTTTTAAATATTTCAAATGTCAATATCACGCTGTTTAGAGGATGTTGAGTCAAGCAGTTCTGATTGCCGGAGTAATTGACTTAATCGGTGTAAACATTAAAGGCGGAGTTATGGGAAGTCACTCTGTCTTTCATCCCATTTTAATACCTTTTGTGTTTTTTTGTTTCTAGACGGAGATCGCCAAACGACTCAATGCAATTTTAGCTCAGATTATGCCTTTCCTGTCGCAAGAGGTAAGTTTTTTTTTATTATTAACATGACCTCCAAATGGTGGTGCAATTTTTTTTATTTTTAGAGAGACTATTTTTAAAAGTAGATTGTGTAAGCAGGGGGGCATTTACTCTTGCTTTCCTTGTAGTACTATTAAAATTAAATTACAAGTTCTGCACACCTTAAAAGTAATTTCTTGTGATTTTTTTTTCCCACAGCACCAACAGCAGGTTGCTCAGGCAGTGGAGAGGGCTAAGCAGGTGACTATGACAGAGCTGAATGCCATCATCGGGGTACGTGGACTTCCCAATCTGCCTCTCACCGTGTGTATACCCCCTTTTATTCCTTTACTTGAACTTGGGTAGGGACAAACCTGCACTTGCTCTCACTAGCATATTCATGTAGTCTGTTTTTCTTTTTTTGAACTAAATGTAATGTTTTTTAATCATGACAAATATAAATGGTCATATTTAGTTTTTCTCCCATTTAATTTGATTGGTCACCTCTAGTTACACATATGAATAACTCAGATGGTCAGTTCCTGCATCAGTGGGTTCAGTGGCATCCTCTCTGTCTTGTTGTGCATTTACAAATGTGAGCTCTTCAAATCTCCTCCGTGACTTGTACTGCTTTAATTGGCTAAGCTTTTAACGAGGAGCCTCATCCCTCACTGTTGACCTGGATTGCTGTGGGAGTTAAAAGGCTGAAGCTGAGCAGAACACTGCCGACTTTGCAAGCTGGTTGAGACAATCCCAACAGCAGGCTGCCATTGCAGCACAGCACTGAGCGAGCAGTAATGTTTGGTGTCCACCTCTGCTTCAAAACACCATCTGTTCTCCATTGATCAGCTCTACTCATCTTTGCAGAAGCAGAAGTAATTAGTTTCAACACTCAGACTATCAGTGTTCTTATTTAGACAGCTGAATCTTTATTATGCACAAGAGGCAGGTTCAAAAGGCTGACTTATAACTGGATATTGAAATTCAATTGATGTCTTCCTGATGACCTTTGCTACAAGTGTTTTTCTCTTTTTAATATATCTGAACATCTTAAGGTTATGGAAAGCTGCTTGTTTACCTTATATGGAAACTAACAAGCAGTTGTGCCTATTGTCATATTTGATTTGTAGCTCCATTCTGTGTTGCTTTTTTATTGAGGACACATGACTTTTTGCAATTTTGCTCTACTTTCAAAACTTCAGCTGTGATTCTTTCTGCGTTGGTCTATAATTTAAAGCTGTCTCATTTAAAAGTTGATCTGAAGTAAGCTCTGACCCTTTGACCCCTGACCCTCATGTTCTTGGTGTATCACTATGTGTGGAAGCAAGATTGTTAAATGAAACAGCAAGACCCCATCCCAAGATGCACCACCTGGTCATGTCAGGGGAGGTGAAAATGTACCTCCTGTATGTTTTACGAATACTTTCCCATCAGTTATTTATTAAGGAGAAGCTCTGTAGGCATGCCAGAATCTTCATGTATATTGTAAAGTAAGGTGGGGTGAAAGAGCATGCCAGGCACACAGGCAGCATCCAGGAAGTAGCTGCATGTCTTATTGATGGAGCTGTGGGCCATATTAATAGAATGCAACTAGGGCAGCTGCTCGCTCTGAGAGAAACCTGACCGCTGGTGCCTCCTGTTTGATTAAAAAATGCACAAAATATTCAAATAAACAGTAAAAGGCTCACCCTTCTTCATATGGTTAGGCACCTGGATTTTCTCCTACTGTTAGGACATTTGTTTATACCTCTTTGGCCATTAAGCGCTGTGTAGTAGTTTTGTGTTGGAGAGAAAACATCTGTAGTAGCTCTGGCCTTGACCACTCTGTCCTCCTTTTCAGCAGCAACAAGCTGCCTGTCCTGCTCTCATGGTCAGTGGAATCCATTTATTTGTGTCTTTATTTAAAACCTGACTTGGTGCGTTCACACATCTCGGCTTGAAAGGCTTGTGCACGTTGCATGGCACTAATTGTGCTGAAGCACTGTGTCTTTCACCATCATTTTGTTAGCACACCTGAGACAAACTATAAGACATCTGCCTGTTTGCCTGTGCAGCTTTTATTGTTGCTACACTTGGTGCGAGGGTAAAAAGGGCAACGAGCAGGTCTTTATCTTGGATTATTAAATTAAGAGAAATGGGCCAGAGTCCTTTCTTTATTTATTATTGTCTTCATTTATGGCCCTTTAATGAGGGCTCTTGCTGATCAGCCATGCTTATTACCCATCAGAGCCTCGTTAAACACAATGAGCAAGGATGTCTCCCCCTGCCAATGAACTGGCTCCTTAATTTCCCTCATGGACACAAAATTATAGCACACTCTTTGGCTCTCTTCTTTTTACTGTTTCTCTGTGTAGTTGTGAATTCTAAATAAAGGAAAGAACGAAGAGACAAAGTTCATCAATATGTTTTTCAAGACAAAGCATGCTTTTTATATTCCGATCTTTTGATCGTGTTGTGTTTATCCACCATTTTGTTCTACATGTAATGCCAACCCATAGTTACCAAGTTCCTAATATTCATGAAATGGCCATAAATGGCCAATGATTGGAGTTTGGTCTAAAGGAGAGGGGCGTGCACCTTTAAAAACAGCTGCATTACTCAGCTGGCTCATAGATAGGGTAATAAATTGCTGATGTTTTTATTGGTGTCTCAGCTAAGTATTATTTAACCTTGCTTTAAACTGCTTACTTCCATGCTGAGTGCCTTTTAACTCCCATTTATTTCACTGTGCCTTTCAAATATTGATGGTGAATATTGGAGGCTTGACTGAGTGCCAGTGTGGGACCCCAGCTCTTGGCTCCCAGGGCTGCCTTTTCCAAATGCACACTCAGAAACTACGAGGGAAGGAGTGCCAGCTTCTGGCACTTTAGTGTTCCCTCAGTCTATTAAAGTTTGGGTGTGCGGGTGATTCATGTGCTGTCAATCCAAGAATGTGCATGTAAGAGCGGTAAACAGACAGTGTAGTGTTTTTTTGAAGTGTTTTAAAAAGCAGGTAGTTGTTTTGCCCTGAGGCTGACAGCCTAATGTTCTTTCAGATGATTGCTCAACTCAATGATGGGACAGGAGTGATGTGACACTGTGATATGTATTGTGCCAGAGTAGCAGGAGCAAAATGATGTTGGCTGTGCTAATTCATGGTTAAATCAAATATAACCTTCTTGAAAAACATTTATTTTTCATTATTCCTTTGTAACGTTGTGGTTGAACATTTAAAGTGGTGTTTAATGCATCTGTGTTGCATATAGTGTTGTAATAACGTGACTTTTCCCTGCACAGAGCATGTGCCACCCTGGCATTAAGCGATGTGTGTAAATTTATTTAACCCGATCAGAGTTGTGTAAAGTTTCTTCTTGGCGTTTCCCTTCAACCCACTTGGTGTTTGTTCGTCTGTGTCTCTGTGGACTTGCAGCAGCAGCAGCTTCAGGCACAGCACCTCTCTCATGCTGCTCACGGGCCTCCTGTCCAGCTGCCGCCCCACCCTTCAGGTCTGCAGCCACCTGGCCTCCCGCCTGTGACAGGGTCTGGGTCAGGCCTGTTGGCGCTTGGGGCTCTGGGAAGCCAAGCTCACCTCCCAGTAAAGGATGAAAAGAACCACCATGATCTTGAACACAGAGGTGAGGAATTTTTAAAGTTTATTATATATGAGTTTATTATTTTTTCTTAGTGGAGACAATGTTAAACAGGGCCAAACCTTAAGTGTGACGCAGTGGTGTAGTCTATATTTTTGTACTGGGTACAATGGGCTTAGAAACCGAAGTACACCGGTTAGTGCAATGTAATCATCAATTTATTTAGATTTTTAAGCATATTGAACATTTCAAAATTTTTCTGATGCTTATTTTTGAATAAATGAACAAACTTTGTACAACAGTTGGCTTTCTACTAAAAGCACGTTAAAGATTTTATAAAACGGTATCAAAGCAAAACATGGGCAAGTGTTAAGTAGTAAGTACAGAAGTATTAATTATACAAAATCAAGTCGAACCAACTCAATGTGTCTATAAAATGTTCCAAATGTGTTGACAATGACACATGTCCAATGATATGTCATGTATCATTGGGCACTTTTAAGTGGGTATACTGGAATTCTCAAACGTTTCTAATGGGTATACTCCGTATACCCGCGTATCATAGACTACACCACTGGTGTGAAGGGCTTTTCACTCTAATCAGAATCGTATCACATCTTGTCTGCTGACATTCTATCAGGATAATGGTGCATTCCCAGTCCATGACTACAACCTATTCAGCAGCTCCAGTGCATGTTGATAAGAAGAGCCCTGTGTCTTGCAGCTAGCTGATCCATACATGTTGATTCAGAAGTGTTTGTGTACTACATGTCCTGAATGCTCAATACTAGCTGACATGTTTTTCTTTTTGCTCTCTCTTGGTGACTTCATCACATCTTCTGCCATCGTGATGTCATCGATACAGAGAATACGGTGAGTCTCCAGATCAGCAGATGTTGGTTTTTTTCTCCTCCGTGGGATTGTTAGTTGTTCTGATCATTGCGTTGTTATACCTGCTGTGTGTTCTTGCTGGTTTCATATGTTGTAATTCGTGTTCTTTATACCGATTAATAGGAAATGAAGTTTGGAATAGAAGGACTGTGTGTTTAATCCAGAAGGGAAATGACAGCTATCATGCTGGAGAGATTAGAAGCCTTGTAATTTCATCACAATTAAAGGAGGACTTGGACTCCCGTCCCCCTCCCACCCATCTTAAAGGATTTATTTGATCCTCTCTTTTCTGTCTCTCTTGCTTACCAGCTCTCTCTTTCCTCTCTCTCTTTGATTTGGGATGAATATTCATACTCACAAATGGAGAGTTTTGTTGTCATTCTCTCCACTCTGTCTGCTGAAATGTTTTACTTGAAATGTTAGGATATTGGCTGACTTGTTATGGGCCTGTGAGATTGTGTTTCTGAAGGCTGGGACTGGTTGAATGGGTGCAGTCATGTCTGAAGAAATGGGAACTCCTGGGGCGATTAGCAGACCCGATTTGTTTCTCCCTTCTCGTCCCAGGTCATCTGATAGTAGAGTGGTGACTTTGGTTAATGAGTCACGCTAAGCATCTCTTTAAAGGTCAGCCATTATGCAGACAGTGGCCCTTTGCCCGACTTCCAGTCTATCCACCGTTGTCCCCTCCTCTTGTTTTTGTCCATGTGGTTGCTTTGTTGAGAGACGGGGAGATTTGGGACAACTTGGCAGTTTGCAGGCAAATGGCAAACCCCAGAGAAAGCTTTTGGATATCTGCCCAGTGCCTTCCCTTCTGTTGGCGTTTGGAGTGAGCTGTCGCAGCTTGTGTAGGCAGGTTCCATGAAGAAGCACCAGCCAGTCCCACGCCGCTGTGCCCACTGGCAGGATTTAGATTCTCTTTCTTTATCAGAGCTCAAAGCCTGAGCTGACATAGTGCCCAAGTGTGCTGCTGCATTCAACGTTCAGAACCCACAACGTATAGATTCTCTGTGTGTCCCTCTCCCCCCACTTTCTCTCTCATGCTTAGCCCAAATGACTCTGGAGAAAAGGCCTTCTGTTCAGTCACAACACACTGCTCATGTTCCTGTGAGGCTGTTTGTTGTCCAGTTATAATGGGTTGGGGTGGGAGGGGGGGACCTTTCAATTCAGATAACGGCCCATTCTGTTGTGTGGCCAAGAACAGGCTTGTGTATGACTGGGTTTGGTGTCAGGGTACTGTGTTGAGCTGGCTCACATGCCTTTTTTGACAAACCCAAGTATTTTTAGTGTTTGGGCCGGCTCAGTCTGTTCTCTTAAGTTCATAATGGATGAGTAATTTTCTGTTGTTCTTATTTTTATTTATTTATTTATTTATTTGCAAAGAGAGACAAAGCGGTAATAAAAGAAGTTTTTGGTTTTCTGTTTGCAGAATAATTCAATATCTCCATCAGAAAGCTTACGAACAGCCAGTGAGAAGCATCGCAGTTCTTCCGACTACAGTCTGGACTCTAAAAAGCGCAAAGTGGAGGAGAAGGACAGCATGAGCAGATACGTAAGTCAACAAAGGAAGAACTCAGCATGACAGGACATGTTATTTACAGTACCTGGCAGCTATTCAACCTCTTATATTGCTTATTCAAAACACAAGGGCGGAGTCAAATTGCCACATTTTAAATTCTTGGTTATGCAGAGGAAAGATTTTGGCAGGGCATACTGACTTCCTGGATTCTTTGTTGGTTGCCTGGCAACTTCACAGTGACAACAAGAATCCAGGAAGTTACTGCTTCCAAATCTCAGCAAGAAAATTGTCAAGACTGCAAAGCTCCAACCCCCCACACACTGTGACACCAGATGTGTATCTGAAGTATATCTGCTTATAGGTCATCATATTCTTGTCTTTGCAGGACAGTGATGGAGAGAAGAGTGATGACTTGGTGGTAGATGTATCTAATGAGGTGAGTATAGCACATGATTTTCAAATGGCGTATGATGCGTTCTTTATATAAACGTGCACATTTGCCTTGTTTTTGTCAGGATCCTGCCACTCCACGGGCAAGCCCAGCCCATTCACCACCTGAAAATGGCATTGATAAGCCACGCCCACCCAAAAAGGACACGCCAAACAGCCCTGCGTCAGTGGCATCATCTGGAAGCACACCATCCTCCAAGGCCAAGGAGCTCAGTCATGTAAGACAGTGAGAAAATTGAAGTCAAACTAGGACAGAGAGGGTTTTATAATCGAATTGCACAGCGAGAGCAAAGGGATATGTGCAAATACATCTAGAACATTTTCTACTGCAGATTAGGAATGTCTCTCTGTGCTTTAAGTGCATGACTAAAATGTCAGGGATAATATTGTCCCACATCAGGATCAGTCGAGTCTTCTTCACTAATAGCTCAATGTATTTAAGTATTCCAGGACTTCTGCCTTTGCCTCACCGAAAGATTAAAGCTAAAGCAGTAAAGGGATGAAAACGACCCCATCACCATTGTGACCATAATAGGTTTTAGAATAAATAGCAGTTTATGGCTCAGCAAGACTATGAGGGTTGTCAGAATTAGATTGGATTAGGTTCAGCTTGCTCTCAAATTGTCAGTCTGCACAGTGCCTGGCTTCTGGGATTGTGAATGTGCTCAGTCTCTTGTTCCCTTGACAGAATGACAAATCCTCCACGCCTGGTCTCAAATCCAACACCCCCACCCCACGCAACGATGCCCCCACCCCTGGCACCAGCTCCACTCCTGGGCTCAGACCCATCCTGGGCAAACCACCAGGCATGGAAGCTCTCGGTTGGTACCATTCTGTGTCCCTTCTCTGATAATCTTTTACCATTTTTCTCCAAAGTACTGCTATGTCTAAAACAAATCCATCTCTGTTGTTTTGTTTGCAGCAGCGCCCGCTTTGCGTACCCCTCTGTCCATTGCAGGCTCCTATCCTTCCCCCTTTGCCATGATGGGCCACCATGAAATAAATGGGGGCCTGACGAATCCTGGGGTGTATGCTGGTCTTCACATTTCCCCTCAGATGAGTGCTGCAGCAGCTGCCGCTTATGGACGGTCCCCCATGGTAACAACTTCTGCTATATTTGACCTAATAGAAGAAACACACATAGTTTGAGTGGTGTGGGATTTTTTTTTAATGACCGCAGGTCAAATACTGATGAAATCTTGTTGTTTTCTAGGGATTTGATCCTCACGCCCCTATGAGAGCTCCAGGCCTTCCAGCCAGCCTCACTTCTATTTCGGGTGGCAAACCGTACGTTTCTCACCCGTGGCGTTACGCTCATCCATTTTTAAAATTAGTAACAAAACACTCAAATGCATTTCCCCCCTCTTCCTTCAGAGCTTACTCTTTCCACGTCAGTGCAGATGGTCAGATGCAGCCTGTGCCCTTCCCACCCGATGCCCTCATTGGCCCCGGTATCCCACGGCATGCCCGTCAGATCAACACTCTCAGCCATGGTGAGGTGGTGTGTGCAGTTACCATTAGCAACCCCACACGTCACGTTTACACTGGTGGCAAAGGCTGTGTCAAAATCTGGGACATCAGCCAACCAGGCAGCAAGAGCCCCGTGTCCCAACTGGACTGTCTGGTAAGGACCTCTGCTAATTTGCATTTTGCTTATGGAGGATGTTTTGCAAAAATATTATAAAATATTTTGGTAATTTATAGCTTTTTGAAAATGTGAACAGTGTGAAACATTGGTGTAAATTCAATAACATATAAATTTGTTGGCTTGGTCCAGATTAGGTGTGAGATACGGCACCATTTTCATCCTGTTTTCCCAAGATTTGTTCCTAATTCTCTCTCTTCCTTCACTGCCCTGAACACGTATTGATTTGGCTTTGTCCTCTGTGCAACAGAACAGGGATAACTACATCCGATCCTGTAAGCTGCTGCCTGATGGTCGCACATTGATCGTTGGAGGCGAGGCCAGCACATTGACCATCTGGGATCTGGCCTCGCAGACACCCCGCATCAAGGCTGAGCTCACCTCCTCGGCCCCGGCATGCTACGCCTTGGCCATCAGCCCTGACGCCAAAGTCTGCTTCTCCTGCTGCAGCGATGGAAACATTGCCGTTTGGGACCTGCACAACCAGACTCTTGTCAGGTTTGTGGGAAATAAAATTACTCCCAATGTGTGGGCTTTGGCCCCTTAACAGAACTGTTTATATTATTTTTAAAGAGCATGTCAATAAATGTGTATGTCTTGCTTTGATTGCAGGCAGTTCCAGGGTCATACAGATGGTGCTAGCTGTATTGACATTTCCCATGATGGTACTAAGCTGTGGACAGGCGGTCTCGATAACACTGTTCGCTCTTGGGATCTGAGGGAGGGTCGACAGCTGCAGCAGCATGATTTCACTTCACAGGTACATCCCAGAGGAAATTCACAACTTACAAACCTTCACACGTCGAGAAGAGTTGTTTTTCTTGAGCTTTTGGAATGCCAATAATAATTACAGCTTTGTCCCATCCTCAGATCTTTTCTTTGGGCTACTGTCCGACTGGAGAATGGCTCGCTGTGGGCATGGAGAGCAGTAACGTGGAGGTGCTCCACCATTCAAAGCCTGACAAGTACCAGCTTCACCTGCACGAAAGCTGCGTTCTCTCCCTCAAATTTGCCTACTGTGGTATGAATAAACACACAAAAAAAACACACACAAAAGAAAACACTGAACAGTTAAGACACATTATGTTTAATCCAAAAGTGCTTTTATATCTTAAGGTTAGAGATTTATACATTTTAATACAATTCTTTTTTTTTTTCCATTTATTGGTTCAAAGTGGCCTGACACCACTTGTGTTTTCTTTGCAGGTAAATGGTTTGTTAGCACTGGGAAGGACAATCTGTTGAATGCTTGGAGGACTCCTTATGGCGCCAGCATATTCCAGGTATGCAGATCGATATGCTCAGTCTGCAGCCAGGCAAAAGTATGCACAGCTGCATCTGAGAGGAAGGACACAGTGACCGCCGTCTCACAGCACTACCCTATCAGTGATAAATGAAACTGAGATATTGACCTGACAAAGAAGTCTTTTTGAGGGCTGTCAGGCCAAAAACTTGATACTACCACAATCTCATCTTTCTCTGTAGTCAGCCAGTTGTCCTCATTTAACATTGAATGGATTTGAAAGTTGTAACTGCCCCAAGACTAAAGTGGTTTTTGTCTTCTTTTCTCTAAACAGTCCAAGGAATCCTCATCTGTCCTGAGTTGTGACATCTCAACAGACGACAAGTACATCGTAACAGGCTCTGGAGACAAGAAGGCCACTGTATATGAAGTGATTTACTAGAAGGAACTGCTTTGGATTTGGGGCACGGTGATGCTCAGGAACAGTAAACTCTTCCTCCATCTATCTTCCCTCACACAGACGGCATGGACTCTGGATTTTGCCTGCAGCCCGGGATGGAGGGCAGGAAGTTTGGCAGTGCCAGACTCAAATGGAGTGCTTGTTTACCCTGGATTTTGTGTCATTCACCTCTGCCCTCCATCATCGATACAACACTTGTACAGCAAGTGCAATTTCTGAAAGCACTAAGAGAAAAAAAAAGTTGCTGTTTTTTTCTGGTTGTTGGATATTTCTCATTTTTTTCCATACTTTTTATTGTGGAGATAAGTTCCATAACGCAACTAGAAGCGGCGCTTCGTTTTGGAGCTTTTTTTTTTTTTTTTTTGGAGTTCTTGTGAAAAGTGTACATAATGGAGTAATAAATGGCCTTTTATAGATTTATATTTTGGTGTCCAATTTCGCTTGTGATGGTTCTTTCTTGTTCTGTCTATGGTTTTCTGTCCCCTTCGGGGTTGGAAATTAGATTAGGACTTTGTAAGAGGATATTCTATTTCAGTTTTTTTTTCCCCTCCTCGGCATTTTTCCTCATGTTTGTTGTTGAGAACAACCTTTTCGGTAATCCAATTTGGATTATTTTTTTCCCTGACAACAACTTTTTTTTTTGCTGTTTGGTATAAAACAGACATTTGTCCCCTGGTTTTTAGCACTAGAGAACTCCGGGAAATGCCATTTTTTAAAACTGGAAGGATAAATTTATTGTTTCAGTAACATTGACCCAGCTCAAAGAAGTTCAACTTTTAAATGAAGATCCGTCACTGAACACCAGCTGCTTTCATGATCAAAATGGATAACTAACATCTGAAGGACTGATGGTTTTACAAAAAATAAGCAACGGTGATTTGAACTTAGTCTTTCTACTCAAATACTGTAAGAAAAATCATTCCTCTCAGTAAAGTCATCGGTTTGTACGTTAATTATTGCTTTTCTCGTTTCAATGGCCTGTGATTGATATGCGAGACTTAATTGGTTACACCATTACCACATCTGGCATTCTGGATATTCTGTTTGCTTTCTTTCGTTAGTATTTTATAATATTCCACTTCAATCCTCTCAAACAGAAACTGCATAAACACAAGTTTAATGTGTAGCATACACATCATCACCCATAAGGACTGTACAGTAGACAGTTGTTGATAAATCAATAAACTGTTTTTATATTAAAAGAATAAAATCTTGACTTGCTCTTTACAGTGCTGCTGACTTGCTGCTAAATTAGGACTTTAGGAAAAATACCTAGCAGTTGTTTATTGTTTAATTATTTGAACATTTTTGTGTATTTAATTGTAATTCTATAAATATTTTTGATGATATAGATTTTTTTATTTGGTCACAACATAAATTATAGTGACAACACTCCATAGTTTCACCATTTAAATGAGAAACTATAAAACACATTAAGCAGCTACCAAATCATGAGTTCTCAAAGGGATAGTTTTTAAGATTTTGAAGTGGGGTCCTGTAGAAAAGCATTAAACAACTAATATCTTACCTGTTGTAGATAGCTCTTTGAAAAAAGATTTGTAAGCTCAGTCATCCAGGTAGATAACAACAAAAAAAGGTTAAATCGTGTCATCTGGACCATAGCTCTTTGAACAACCTCAGTGCGAAGTTTAATTCTGGCCAGATTAATGAGCTAACAACTAGCTTGGGAGGGACCAAGACTAAAGTGGACTGCCGCCTTTAAAAAAAAAAAAAAACTATAGTCCTAAAAATATCATGGCAGTTTGTTCCAGTGATGTTTTTTACACCTTTATGTTGCAGTTTTTTCTTATTACATGTCTATTCTGGTAGGAATAGTGTAATATTCTCTCTGGTAGTGCTCTAGGCTCCTAATGAAGTGCTACAGTTAACTGCTGCTGTTGTTGCTATTTTTAGTTGTAAGTAAGCAAATGGCTTATTTGATGTAAACAGCTTAACATAAAAAAACCAACTTTAAACAGAGGAGGTCTCAGATTTAAGCTTTCCAAAACTACAATGCAGCATTAAGCATTAGTCAGCTTCCTTGTAATTCACACCTTCATGCATGTGACCAAAACATTTTTTTTTTTAGTCAGGCAAACACCATTGTGTCGACCATTGACCATTGTGAGAGGCGTGTAGTTTAATCTGCACGTGATTCTAGGTTCTAGGTCTCATTCACTTTTAAAAGCTTTGAACATTATTATTATTTTTTTTATTGAGAAAGCTCCCTGCAAGATAAGTGAAACATTTCCAACTACAGAATATGGGGTGAGATTTCTAGATAAATGGGAGTCTACACCAGCAGCATATAATGCAAAATGAACGATGAATTAAACATTTATAAAGTAGAGTCCACAGATTTAAAGGATTGGAATTTAAAAACGGCAATGATCCGCTTTGGTCGAGCCTCTTTCCGACTAGACATAAACTCATCAATCCAGTCAGAGTCAAACTCAAACCTTAAACAGGCAAACTAATAATTGTCCATAACCTTTCCAAATAACTGCCAAGTCAAGAACCCCACTTTTACTTATCTGAATTATTTCTTATGGTGACAGGGAGACATGTGAAATGGTAAACTTTAAAAGAGTTTGGCTTTACAACAGTGGAAAATATCTCTTTCTCATGTAGTCCATGCTGACATAGCTGTTCTCTGAAAGACAACAGATTACCGTATTTCCTACATGTCAATCTTTCTCTTTAAGTCTGGTAGTAAATTACAGTCTTTATGTTTAAAGTGACATGGAAATGAACTGTGTAAACCAACGCACTCATGGTCTCTTGGCTCTGCTCCATTTCACTTAAAACCACAAACGTGTCCACAAAGTCCCAGTTTGCTTGACTATTGTTACTGTAGCAAGGCTTCTCCCTAACCCAAGTCTGCTTTTACAGTCTACATGATATTATTCACAGGCTCTCCTTGACAGTGAATGGAAATGCATCAGCAAATGGCCATAAATGCAACTAGGTCTGACATCTGTCTCAGGAGAACTGCAGACATAAGCGGAAGGTTTTCTGCTGTTAGAGAGGCTGCAATACAGACCTTTTGACTTGGCTGTAATTCAGAAAATTACTGAGATCACATTAATGTTTGAAGGATGAATGTGGCATAGCTTTCAAAGTCAGAGTGTGCTCCAGCCATGGTCACTGTCAGCCGCAATCTAAGTTTTGTATGGTGGCTCGATGACATCACGCCACCGTCTCAGAGTAATACAATAAGGCAGAAGTTGCTATGCAGTGGCACTTCAGAGAAATGACGTAAACACTGCTCTTGAGTTCTGATGAGTGGTCTTTTGGTAGCTGAATACTTCTGGGCAGGATGAGGTGAATGACCCCGTCCATCCACTCCAGAACAACGCTCCTGCGCTTGAAGCAGTGAGCCCTTCATGAGGCCGTTTCTTTAGAGATGATGTTGTTGGATTATAAAAGCGGGGCCGGATGCTTTCAGCATGGAGCCAGCCGCCGTGCACCGCTCTCACGGGCTCATTTGTTAAAAGCTGTTGTCTTTCTTTTCCCACATCAGTGAAGTGTGTAGTTCCTGTGCATATTCAGAGCTTAAGCTCCCGGCTCAAGTACAATTTTCTTCCTCTTCTTAATCAAACAGCGGAATATCTGCAGATGAAAGGTTGTACCTCTCAGTGGCTAACGGTGGACACCGAGGGGGTCATTGTCTCGCCTTCCGCTGATCTACGTCTCAATAGAAGGCTTTCAGCAGGTTCTCATGCAAAACCCGTGCTGCTCTCGACTATTTAAAGAGGGCCAACTGCGCAGACTAAACTAAAGTGGCCTATAAGTGCTTTGCAGGAAGCTCAAAACGTAAGGGCATATTCCAGTTCCTACTCTGCTGGATTGTTAAGAGTAAAAACTTGCAGCATGGAGAAAATCAAGACGAGTATGTAATGTTAATATGTGAATGATGTAACTGATGTTCTCCTTCATTAATAACATAGGAAATTACGTTTCTTTTTCTTTTAAACAGCAAGGCTCTGGCACCTTGCTGATATTCAGAGTAATAATCCTTTAATCACCTGAGTATTGCCAGTCCTAGGTTTTATCTGTTATGGATGTGAAAGCCCCCAGTGCCAAGTGATTACAGCATTTGATCAGGGTAATAATGTCTTCACTGCTGCCCTGCCTGGGGCCCAGAGGCAGCACAGCTCTAATCCACAGTGCATTCTAGTGGAATTGTATTACACAAAGACCACCAGGGTTTCTCTTCTAAAAGGGAGGGGTGGGGTTGAGGGGGCTAAAAGAGGAGGTTACCATGGAAACAAGCTTCTCTCGCTCTCTCTCTTTATGCAGACACACATGCACATAACCCAAGCACACTCACTCCTGGGACAGATAAGCGAAAGACAGGTGGTGTGTTTACTTTCCATGGACCCTCCAATCCCCGTGCAGGCTGAGTCCTGATAACACGAAGCTTGTACAGTCACCGACCACAGAAAGCAGATAAGCACTCCAGCAGAGCAGAGCAGTCATCGCCTTCCAGCCAGGATGAGCAAACCTGGGAGACCCGGATTCATTTGGATTAGGGTGGATTGCTGCTGCCAGAGTCGACGCCAACGCTGCTGCCTCTGCTGTGATCAGACTACTGATGTTCACAGGACTTTCTACATGAGAACCTGATGTTGCTCTTTACTCTCTGGAGAGTTTAGTTAAAGGACATGGCCACACCAGTGGACTGGATGCTATTTTAGAGATCGAGATCAAGAGGCTGTCAGCACTGGGCACAGTCGTGTCACTGAGGTTAAAAGATTTTGAAGCCGGAACAAGAAAATCTCTCCTGATGTGTCCTGAAGAGAGACCCTGAACACTATCAACGTGTTGTTTCAACGTTGACTTGTCTACTCTGTTTGTAATGGCTAATTTACAGAGAAAGGCTGAAAAACTATCAGGAAATTCCTTTGTGTTTGTTCCAAGTCTCCACTAAAATCCAGTAATTTAACCAGAGTATGGTTTTTATTATAATGTCCTGTAAAGGGACCAACAACACGCTCTTTGATGTTGAGATCAAGACAACTACAAGTACTACTTTATTATGTGCAATATGCTAAGATGCTGATTATCTTTCCACACACATTCTGTGATTAAAGCACAGCTGGAGGTGCATAAGCAACATGACTAATTACAGAGGAAATGGTGATATTGAACTAAGGTGGTGAGAGTCGAATTTCCCCTTGGCCCCTTCTTTGCCTGTGTTGATTTTTAATTTATCTTTAAAAATGGATAAAAAAAACCAACCAAAATAAAAAAGGTGTGTAATCTCTCACTAATATTATGGGTTTGTAGCCTGTATTTCCAAAG